TCCAGGTGGAGGTGGACACGTCAGAGGCCGGTATTGGGGCTGTACTGTCTCAACGCTCAGGCACCCCCGCTAAACTCCGGCCCTGCGCTTTTTACTCTAAGAAGCTCAGCCCGGCGGAACGTAATTATGACGTGGGGGACAGGGAGCTGCTCGCCGTGGTTCAAGCCCTAAAGGTGTGGAGGCATTGGCTTGAGGGGGCTCAACACCCTTTTCTCATTCTGACTGACCATCGTAACCTGGAGGACATCCGGGCAGCTAGGAGACTGAACCCTCGTCAGGCTAGGTGGACCATGTTTCTGGCCCGGTTTGCGTTTAAGCTCACTTACATCCCAGGGTCCCAGAACGGTAAGGCAGACGCCCTGTCCCGGCGATATGATGCAGAGGAGAGGTCCATTGAGCCCACGCCCATACTGCCGGAGTCTTGTCTGGTGGCACCGGTGGTGTGGGAGGTCGATGCGGAGATCGAGCGGGCGTTGCGCACCGACCCTACTCCTCCAGATTGTCCGATAGGGCGGACGTACGTTCCGCTCGAGATTTGTGATCGTCTCATATATTGGGCTCATACGTCACCCTCCTCTGGACACCCTGGTATCGGCCGGACAGTGCACTGCCTTAGTGACAAGTACTGGTGGCCAACATTGGCTAAGGACGTGAGGGTTTATGTCTCCTCCTGCTCGGTGTGCGCTCAGTGTAAGGCGCCTAGACACCTGCCCAGGGGGAAGTTACAACCCCTACCCGTTCCACAACGGCCGTGGTCTCACCTCTCGGTAGACTTTGTCACGGACCTTCCCCCCTCCCAGGGGAATACCACTATTCTGGTCGTTGTGGATCGGTTCTCTAAGGCCTGTCGTCTCATCCCAATGCCAGGTCTCCCTACTGCCCTACAGACTGCTGAGGCTTTGTTTACCCACGTCTTCCGGCACTACGGGGTACCCGAGGATATAGTGTCTGATCGGGGTCCCCAGTTCACCTCTAGAGTCTGGAGGGCGTTCATGGAACGCTTGGGGGTCTCGGTTAGCCTTACCTCGGGTTTCCACCCTGAGAGTAATGGGCAGGTGGAGAGAGTGAACCAGGATGTGGGTAGGTTTCTGAGATCATATTGCCAGGACCGGCAGGGGGAGTGGTCGGGATATATTCCCTGGTCATAGATAGCCCAGAACTCCCTCCGTCATTCATCTACTAACCTGACACCTTTCCAGTGTGTGTTAGGTTACCAGCCGGTTCTGGCACCTTGGCATCAGAGCCAGATCGAGGCCCCTGTGGTGGACGAGTGGTTCCGGCGCTCGGAGGAGACATGGAATGCTGCGCACGTTCATTTGCAGCGTGCCATCAGGCGGCAAAAGGCGAGCGCTGATCGCCACCGCAGTGAGGCTCCGGTGTATGCACCAGGAGACCGGGTCTGGCTCTCGACTCGAAACCTGCCCCTTCGCCTGCCCTGCCGGAAGCTGGGTCGGCGGTTTGTGGGGCCATTTAAAGTCCTGAGGAGATTGAACGAGGTTTGTTACAGGTTACAACTGCCTAATGATTATCGCATTAACCCCTTGTTCCATGTGTCTCTCCTCAGGCCGGTGGTAGCTGGTCCACTCCAGGACAGTGAGATACGGGAGACTCCTCCGCCCCCACTGGACATCGAGGGGGCTCCGGCGTACTCAGTCCGGTCCATCGTGGATTCGAGACGTCGGATGGGGGGTCTGCAGTATCTCGTGGAGTGGGAGGGGTACGGACCGGAGGAACGGTGCTGGGTGCCTAGGAGGGACATTTTAGATCCCTCCCTCCTGACGGAGTTCCACCGGAGTCATCCTACGCGTCCTGCTCCGCGTCCTCCTGGCCGTCCCCGAGGCCGGGGCCGGCGCATGGCTGGAGCCGCGCGTCAAGGGGGGGGGTACTGTCATGGAGACCGCCGAGGCTGCTCCTCCTCCTTGCTGGCTTCGGCGTTCGTCGTCCCCGGAGTACTAGCTACTACCGCTTGATGTTTTCGATGTTTGTTTGGTTATGTCTAGTTGGTGCACCTGTCTCGTATTCTGTCTTGATTATGTCTCCTATAAGTTCCCCTGTGTTAGGTTTGCATTTTGTGTGTTATTGTCGCCTGTCGTGTCTGTATAGGTTCTGTGACCTTGGCTTTTGTGGGTTTTACGCACTCGCGTATTTTGTCACACCTCTTGTGTTTTTGGAGGCTGTTTATTTTGTGTGTACCTTGAGAGGTATTAGTAAAGTCGTCTTGACTATTCCTCTGTGTCCTGCGCTTGACTCCACCACCGCATCCACATCAGACACAGGGAGAGTTATCAAGCGAAACAACAGATTTGTCCAGCCTCCAGTTTCCAGACATAGGCAATTATTTACTGTACCAGACAAGGTAGTCCAGCAATGCCTACAACTACTTTGTATCTGGGTGGGTCCATGATGTTAAAGTGAAGAAATACACTCCCTGGTCAGTTTATTAGGTATACCCATCTAGTACTGAGTTGGACCCCTCTTTGCCTCCAGAACAACCTGAATTCTTTGGGGCATGGATTCTACAAGTTGGAAATGTTCCACAGAGATGTTGGTCCATGCTGACGCAATGGCATCACGCACTTGCTGCAGATTGGACGGCGGTACACCACCGCCACCAGCCTGTACCGTTGACACCAGGCAGGATGGGTCCATGGACTCAGGCTACTTACACCAAAACCTGACCCTGACCTCAATTGTCCAGTGTTGGTGATTGCATGCCCACTGGAGCCGCTTCTTGATTTTAGTTGATAGGAGTGGAACCCGATGTGGTTGTCTGCTGCAATAGCCCATCCGTGACAAGGATCGACGAGTTGTGCGTTCCGAGATGCCGTTCTGCACACCACTGTTGTACTGTGCCATCACTTGTCTGTTTGTGGTCCGCATGTTAGCTTGCACTATTCTTGCCATTCTCCTTCGACCTCTGTCATCAACGAGCTGTTTTCACCCACAGGACTGCCGCTGACTGGATGTTTTTATGTTTGTCATAACCGTTATCTGGAAATCCTAGACACTGTCGTGTGTGAAAAGCCCAGGAGGGCAGCCGATTCTGAGATACTGGATCCGGCGTGCCTGGCACTGACAATCATAACACGCTCAAATGTCTTATGTCACTCGTTTTGCCTATTCAAATGTTCAATCAAACAGTAACTGAATGCCTAGATGTCTGTCTGCCTGCTTTATATAGCAAGCCACAGCCATGTGACTCACTGTCTGTAATCAATTTTTGTGAACAGGGTGGTATACCTAATAAACTGTCTGGTGAGTGTATAATGAAGTTCACGTCGTTGTCAGAAGGGTAAGTGAAACATGAAAGTTATCTTTAGGCTCCTTGTTAACGTTACATTAGCTACCTTCCAATAACTACGGCTACGACAGAGCCTGGATTTGAACCAGGATCTCTAGTGGCACAGCTAGCACTGCGATGCAGTGCCTTAGACCACTGCGCCACTCGGGAGACTAGTAACTAGCCTTAATATTAGGCTATTTACTGTATTACAAAAGTAATATTTAATTGTGTTTGGTTGTCAACGCAACCAAATATCAACATTTGAAGGAGATGTATCTTCTGCTTGGATAGTATCAATTATTAATTTATAGACAAACTGGAATTAAAGCCAGACTAAGTCAGTGGCACAGATGGAACTGTCTAGGCAGAAGATACCTGTCCTTCAAATGTTGATATTTGGTTAAATATCATTACATTGGAAATCAACCGGAGCTTGAAACGCAAGGCCTGTTGTATTGTCTATTTTTAGTTTAATCCTGGGTTGAATTTAAACAACAGCTGTTGATGACTTCCCAAATGCTATATAGGCCTAAGTAGCATCATTGATGATATATGAATGATAAAGTATGGTCACATTTCATTTGCTCTGTTAAACCTTCCCCTTGGAATGACTTCGATAGCAACAGTGAATCGATTTAGTTTTTCACTCAACAATCATTCTCACCACAGCACATTGTTAATAGTTACTGACAAATATCATAGCTAAGCTGGACTTGGTTAAAACCCTGGATGGTAGACCAAAGGGTATCAGTAGATAGATCAATTCTGCAGTAGAATGTGCTGCCCAGTTGTATTTTTTATTTTTATAATAGTGGATATAACGTTGAAGATCTGACATTGTTTTAAAAGATACAAATTCAACATATTTTATACAAGGTTTGATGACTTTTTTCAAAATCCAATGTATTTTCCATATAGATTCCACATCACAATACGTTGACAAATTACGTTGAAACAACCATTTTGTGCCCAGTGGGTAGGCCTTCATAGAGGCTATAAAACACACTCACAAAGTGTCTGAAACTCTGCTGTGACACCGGTGTTTTTAGATGCCCGAGTAAGACTGCATAGCCTATACTCTACACTGCTCTCTGTAGACAACAAAAGGCTCAGTGTCTTCCTCACCAAATTACTCTCACTATCCACGTAAGATCCCGTTTATCTGTCCATCAATTAATTAAAATAGTTTAGAACTTTCCTCGTTCTTCCAAGGATCTGTTTCCCACCATCAATGAATCATTTATTGGAATCCTGAGAACCACGGGGCATCACCCAATAGGCCTACCGTGCACTGCATGCCTCAGTTATGAACCAACCACCTCAACAGGTGGTATTCTGACTGGCTGCCCTGCACAACTGTTACATTCAGTGTGTGTGTGTGTGTGTGAAAGAGATACTGTATGTCAGTAAGTGACGCCTTTAGCACCGGGATCTGTCCATGGTTTTGAATTTCCGAGCAGCAGCGTGCATCAGGACAGAAGACTGACAGAAGAGGCAGAGTGGATACATAACTCTATACCTACGGACACCTAAGTGAGTGAGCGTAGAAAGAAGGAACTACAATTTTTTTTCAATGACAGCATTATATATATTTTTCTCTCTTGACTAGACAGTCACTTGGAAACCATCACCGAAACTCAGTCACTCTTTTGTGTGAGCTTCTCTTCTTCTTCAAAAAGATAATAATCATCTAGAAATAGTTTATCCAACCGTCGCCATGCTCCCGGCGCAGGAAGCGGCTAAGATCTACCACACCAACTACGTGCGTAACGCGCGCGCCGTGGGCGTCCTGTGGACCATCTTTACCATCTGCTTCGCCATCTTGGTGATGGTGGTGTTCATACAGGTCAGTAGACAGTTATTTATTTTCATAAACTATTTCTAGATTAACATTCCTGTGTGTTATGTCCCAAGGACCACATTGGAAATAAATGTGGTCACACTTTCTTTGGATAGACCCATACAGATGGTTATACGAAATCTGTTGATAAGCAACTGCTTGCTAAGGTTAGGGTTAGGTTTAGAATAAGGGTTAGGGTAAGGGTTAAGGTTAGGGTTAGGGCTAGGCTTAGGGTTAGTGGATAGCTAAACTGTTGTTGACAGTTATTGAACATCTGCTGAACATCTACAAACCTAGGTGTTAACAAAAGTGTTTTTAACATTTTCAATGTGTCATCTTCTGGGGTTCTTCTTATTATAAAATGATTTTGTACGCAGCACCCGATGATGCTGGAAGTAACCAAAACCCTTGTGTGCATATTTCTTGTCCTTGGTGTCCCTCTTGTCCAGCCCTACTGGATCGGGGACAGCGTCAACACCCCTCAGGCGGGCTACTTTGGCCTGTTCCACTACTGTATCGGGAACGCGCTCACCGGCGAGCTCATCTGCAAAGGGAGTGCGCTGGACTTTGGCTCCATCCCGTCCGGGGCCTTCAAGACAGCGATGTTCTTCGTTGGTATTTCCATGCTGCTAGTGGTGGGAAGCATTGTTTGCTTCAGCCTCTTCTTCTTCTGTAATGCCGGCAGCGTCTACAAGATCTGCGCCTGGATGCAGCTGGCCTCCTGTGAGTAGAAGAAGAAGCTATACACTAAAACATTTCCTGTAATTTATACAGTAAATCACTGGCAGCACAGTAGTCAGTAGGTTACTGTACATTTACAATAAACTATTGGCAGCACAAAAGCCAGTAAATTACTGTAGATTTATAGGACCTTTACTGAAACACAAATTTACAGCATATTACTGGAACACCTGACTACAGCAACATGCTGTATTTCTAGAATGTATAGTGCAATACTGGAAGCACAGTGGTTAGTAAACAGTTAGATTTACAGTGCAGGCATCTAGTGCCAATGATGGGCAGTATTTCTGTTACATGTATTTGATATACACTACCAGTCAAAAGTTTGGACACCTACTCATTCAAGTTTTTATTTTTTTTGTACAATTTTTTACATTATAGAACAATAGTGAAGACATCAAAACTATGAAATAACACATATGGAATCATGTAGTAACCAAAAAAGTGTTAAATAAATCAAAATATATTTTATATTTGAGATTCTTCAAATAGCCACCCTTTGCCTTGATGACAGCTTTGCACACTTGGCATTCTCTCAACCAGCTTCATGAGGTAGTCTCCTGGAATGTATTTCAATTAACAGGTGTGCCTTCTTAAAAGTTAATTTGTGGAATTTATTTCCTTCGTAATGCGTTTGAGCCAATCAGTTGTGTCGTGACAAGGTAGGGTTGGTATACAGAAGATAGCCCTATTTGGTGAAAGACCAAGTCCATATTATGGCAAGAACAGCAACGATAAATGACAGTCCATCATTACTTTAAGACATAGAGGTCAGTCAGTACGGAACATTTCAAGAACTTTGAAAGTTTCTTCAAGTGCAGTCGCAACGACCATCAAGCGCTATGATGAAACTGTCTCTCATGAGGACCGCCACAGGAATGGCAGTCCTCTGGAAGATCCAGAGTTACCTCTGCTGCAGAGGATAAGTTCATTAGAGTTAACTGCACCTCAGATTGCAGCCCAAATAAATGCTTCACAGAGTTCAAGTCACAGACACATCTCAACATCAACTGTTCAGAGGGGACTGTGTGAGAATCAGGCCTTCATGGTCGAATTGCTGCAAAGAAACCACTACTAAAGGACACCAATAGTAAGAAGAGACTTGCTTGGGCCAAGAAACACGAAAAAATTTAATTAGACCGGTGGAAATGTGTCCTTTGGTCTGGAGTCCATTTTTGGACTCCAGACACGGTGTGGGTGAACGGATGATCTCCGCATATGTAGTTCCCACCGTAAAGCATGGAGGAGGTGTTATGGTGTTGGGGTGCTTTGCTGGTGACACTGTCTGTGATTTATTTAGAATTCAAGGCACACTTAACCAGCATGGCTACCACAGCATTTTGCAGCGATACGCCATCCCATCTGGTTTGGGCTTAGTGGGACTATCATTTGTTTTTCAACAGGACAATGACCCAACACACCTCCAGGCTGTGTAAGGGCTATTTTACCAACAAGCTGCATCAGATGACCTGGCCTTCACAATCCCCCGACCTCAACCCAATTGAGATGGTTTGGGATGAGTCGGACGGCAGAGTGAAGGAAAAGCAGCCAACAAGTGCTCAGCATATGTGGGAACTCCTTCAAGACTGTTGGAAAAATATTCCAGGTGAAGCTGGTTGAGAGAATGCCAAGATTGTGCAAAGCTGTCATCAAGGCAAAGGGTGGCTATTTGAAGAATATCAAATATATTTAGATTTGTTTAACACTTTTTTGGTTACTACATGATTCCATATGTGTTATTTAATAGTTTTGATGTCTTCACTATTATTATTACTATTTTCTACATTGTAGAATAAAGAAAAACCCTTGAATGAGTAGGAGTGTCCAAACTTTTGACTGGTACTGTAGGTATTTCAATAGTTTCAATACCTATTTTGTATTTCACTAGCCTACAATTCAGCAAGTTTGAGGGCGGAGATCATTATAATAATACCCAGCAGTGTGCTTTGCAAGGCAAGCTGTTGCCAAATGTAACTCAGGAAGCCGAGTCTGAATTGAAAGGGAGAGAGTATATGCTCGGAAAATAGAAAGTGAGTTTGTATGTGCCAGGTTAGAAAGCGAGAGTGTGTAATGTTTCAGGATGGGTAATGTAATCCCATCACATGTAGCGTAGCGTGCCAAGCTGCAGTGAGATGGCTGAGCTCAGGGGTGAATTATGGATGAAGCTTATCTAACTCATCAGACTGGAGTTGCCAAGCAACTACTGCCGTAAGTTTCATTACTGTGTGTGTGGGTCTCAGTCTTGTCCATCTGTCTGTCTGTTCATCTACCTACCTGATTGTCAGTCTGTCCATCTGTCTTGCTCCCACCCCCTCCCGAGTCACCTGTACTACAATTCCCTGTATAACCGGTCCATCACTTTCTCTCTTTCCCGCCCCCTTCCCAGCCACTTGCATGGTGATAGGCTGTATGATCTACCCTGACGGCTGGGACAGTGAGGAGGTGAAGAGGATGTGTGGACAGAGAACAGATAAATACACCCTGGGTAACTGCACGGTGCGCTGGGCCTACATCCTGGCTATCATCAGCATCATGGACTCCCTCATCCTCTCCTTCCTAGCTTTCTCCCTGGGGAACAGACAGGACCAACTACTGCCTGACAACTTTCAGGTGGACGGGAAAGAAAAAGACAAAGGTAAGGGGGGTGGGATGGAGGTACATGCAAAAGTTGATAATATATATATATATATATAAAATTCCATCTCTAGACTTCCTATTAAAACAACTGGAAATCAGAACAGTGGTGGAGAGAGAGAGAAAAGAGAGAGAAGTCTATAGCCTAATTTCTAGCACTGATGTTGATGTGTGTGAGCAGAATGTTCCTCCAAAACAAGGTGTTCCTCCAAAGAATGTTCCTCCAAAACATTATTCTCTGATTGTTGTCCTTGTCCTCATCCAAATCATTAGTGCTAGAATCAGATCATCCAGAGAGTTTATATCATATCACAGAGGGCATAATGAGAAACTGGGGCCACTTCAAACGCACCATTATTCAAAATACATTTAGGCAAAGCAACCTCTCAAAACACTACCGACAGTTAGTGAAAGGAATGAATTGGGAGAGCAGAGAACTAGTGACACCACTTTGCAGGTCTTCATCTATATTCTTCGTAGCTGTCTATTTACCACCACAAACCGATGCTGGCACTAAGACCGCTCTCAAAGTACTGTATACGGCCATAAGCAAACAGGAAAACGCTCATCCAGAGGCGGCGCTCCTAGTGGCCGGGAACTTTAATGCAGGGAAACTTAAATCCGATTTACCTCATTTCTACCAGCATGTTAAATGTGCAACCAGAGGGGAAAAAAAACTAGACCACCTTTACTCCACACACAGAGACGCGTACAAAGCTCTCCCTCGCCCTCCATTTGGCAAATCTGACCATAATTATGTCCTCCTGATTCCTGCTTACAAGCAACAACTAAAGCAGGAAGCAGCAGTGACTCGGTCAATAGAAAAGTGGTCAGATGAAGCAGATGCTAAGCTACAGGACTGTTTTGCTAGAACAGACTGGAATACGTTCCGGGATTCTTCCGATGGCATTGAGGAGTACACCACATCAGTCACTGGCTTCATCAATAAGTGCATCGATGACGTTGTCCCCACAGTGACTGTACGTACATACCCCAACCAGAAGCCATGGATTACAGGCAACATCCGCACTGAGCTAAAGGGTAGAGCTGCTGCTTTCAAGGAGCGGGACTCTAACCCGGAAGCTTATGAGAAATCCCACTATGCCCTCAGACGAACCATCAAACAGGCAAAGCATCAATACAGGACTAAGATCGAATCGTACTACACCGGCTCCGACGCTCGTCGGATGTGGCAGGACTTGCAGACTATTACAGACTACAAAGGGAAGCACAGCCGCGAGCTGCCCAGTGACGCGAGCCTACCAGACGAGATAAATTACTTATATTCTCGCTTCAAGGCAAGTAACACTGAAACATGCATGAGAGCATCAGCTGTTCCGGACGACTGTGTGATCACGCTCTCCGTAGCCGATGTGATTAAGACCTTTAAACAGGTCAACATTCAGACAGATTACCAGGACGTGTACTCCGAGCATGCGCTGACCAACTGGCAAGTGTCTTCACTGACATTTTCAACCTCTCCCTGTCTGAATCTGTAATACCAACATGTTTCAAGCAGACCACCATAGTCCCTGTGCCCAAGTACACTAAGGTAACCTGCCTAAATGACTACCGACCCGCCGACCTGTAGCACTCACATCTGTAGCCATGAAGTGCTTTGAAAGGCTGGTCATGGCTCACATCACACCATTATCCCAGAATCCCTAGATGCGATTCAGTTTGATACGATTCGATGCACTAACATTTGCTGCATAAACATTCATTTTCCGTTCTAAATTAAAATCTGCTGCTGATGGAGCTCATAAATTGGGCCTCTGAGCTGGATCTGTCTGAGCTGACTTCTGTGTGTGTGTGTAAATTATGTATGTCTATGGTGTATACCAGGGGTACTCAAGTACTATTTGAGAAGATCCGGTCACACAAATTTCCTAGGTGGCAAAAGGTCGCAACCCATGCAATCTCAAACTGTTCACACTCCTGTTGTTGGCGGAGATAACATATTGAAGTTTTACAGATAAATTCCCACAATTCTACACATTTTGCATGGGACAGATTTGTTGTTGTTGTTTTAAAGATAATTTCCTGATATTCTACAAAAAAACTAAACAATTGTTGGGACCCCATTCTGGGTCCGAATCCTGACCGCTGGCCCGCAGTTGAGTATGGGGGGGGGGTGTATAATACAGTAACAACCATCACATAGAAGTAAACTTGGAGTCACGCAATGACATGTTGTATGGTCCTCCACATATGACTCCTCGGGAGAGCATGCAGTTTATTAGGCTACAGATGAAATAAGTTATGAACTTCACAGGGTGGTGAAAGTGCAAGGTGATGAGCTTGATGCTCCTTTCCAATAAATATTGAGGGTCTTATTCTGGTGACATGACCATCGATGCTTGGCTGCTGTTTGACAAATAAAAATAATCTTGCTATTAAGTCCATAATAACAACAGCGCTGTTGGCTAGAGCGCACGTGTGAATACCGGAGTGGGCACACTCCTAAATATTTTGAGAGAAAACCATCAGTAGAGTTGAAAATGCAATGGAAACCCATTTAACTTGTATTTTCTTGTACACTGTCATCACGCACAGCCTTTTATCTACAACAAGTCAATTTGATGGAAACATCTCTGGTGGGAAAATGTGCATATTGTTTTTATGCAGATTTTAGAATATTCACATGTAAATCTGTAGCCTGTTGGAAACTTAGCTATAGTTGAAAATGTTTACAAGCAGTAGGCATTTAGAATTACATGTGGGGTGGAGCTTTATAGTTACATGGTGACATCACGTGCCCTGCTTAGCTTCAAAATAATTAGGCAATCATCATTTAGTTGAAAAACACAGTTTCCATCATAATTTTTCGCAATAAAGAAAGTTTTCACTAAAGTAAAATCCACCCGTTGTACTGATACAAATGTTGTTGATCTTTATAAAATATATCCTATATCTGGCATTTCATTTATATACATACATACATACATACACACACACACACCAGAAACAAACTTATACAAACATACAAATGAACAACAACTTACAGAAGCACACAAACAATGACTAAGGAAGACCGGGGATGGTTGTAACACTTGCAATTTCTCCAATCAGGAGCAAGGTAGAATCATGTGATTCACTGTGCACATGCTCAGGTTAGCCCTGAACCATCATGTGAAAAAGCAAGTCCCTGTGATAAACTCTGCACATTCTATTCACAGAAATCTGATTTTGAGGTAAGAAACTATTTTGCGATGGCATCAACTGCTTTGTAGTTCCATTCACCAAACTTATATCAGGTTTATAACCAGTCTGTGTAGGGATATCTGATGCAAGTTAGAAATGCTAAAGTTTTAACATTTAGCTCAAATGGAAGCTAGCTAATAGCTGCAAGGGTCAGGGTTAGTTCTAACAACTTTTTTTACAACTAACCCAGAGTAAAACTGAATGTTTTTGGTACACGTTTTCTTTTACTTTCAGCATGCCGAGATCATGGAAAAGAAAGACAGGGGAGTACCTCTCCACACTTTGAAAAGAGCATCAAATGATGTAGCAGAGTAGGGGAAGTAAATCAGATCAGTTGCAAAGTTGTATGGCATATGTCATGTGACGCTGTACAGATTCTGCAAAGAGTGAAAGAAGCTACTGGAGAACGGGTCGAGAGCGCTTCCTCATGTAGGCTACCGTAGTGGAAACAGGGTCTTCATGGATGAGCAGGAGCAGAAGTTGTCAGAGTATCTCTTGAGGGCAGCTGATTTATATTATGGATTGTCTCCCCGTGAGGTAAGCACTTGATAGGAATTAGTGAAGAGTAAGTCAGGGCAAAGTTAGCAGTTCATGTTGGTGGCAATTAAGGTCAAGGGAGGGAGTACTAATGTAAATTAATAATGTAAACTATTAATTGAGGGAAGTATTGAATATATTTTATTCTATTGTTACAGGTCAGGAAATGTGTCTACCAACTCGCTGTACAATATGGTTGTAAGCATCCTCAGTCATGGGATGAGACCTCTATGGTGGGAGCAGATTCTTGTCTTACCTAAAGCGACACCCTCCTCTCTCCATTAGGAGTGCTGAAGCAACTAGTCTGTCGCGGGCCACAAGTTTCAACAGAACAAATGTGGCAAAGTTTTTCAGCAAACTAGGAGAGGTGATAAATAAATACAGCTTTAATGGCAATGACATATGGCATGTTGACAAGACAGGAATAACCACAGTACAAGCACCTGATAGAATGGTTGCGAAACGGGGCACCAAACAGGTTGGAACAATCACCTCAGCAGAAAGGGATACACTAGTGTCAATGGCATGTGCTATAAATGCAATAGGAAACTGAATCTTCCCACGTAAAAGACACCACGACCACTTTGTATGGGATGGACCAATTGGATGTGTTGGAAGTGGAAATGGATCCGGCTGGATGCAGGAGGATGACTTCCTCATTTTCCTTGAACACTACCAAACATACCAAGGTCAGCCTGGAAAGGAAGGTGGTCCTTCTCCTTGACAACCAAAGCTCACATCTGTCTATCAAGGCCATTGATTTCTGTAGGCGCTCTGGCAGTCTTGCTTTCTTTCCCCCCCACACTGTTCACACAAGCTCCAACCCCTGGACAGGAGTGTGTACGGGCCATTGAAGAAAATGGTGAACTCTGCCAGTGATGCCTGGATGAGGATGAACCGTGGAAAGACCAGGACCATATATGACATTCCAGGCCTTGTCAAAACAGCACTTCCAGGTGCCACAACACCCACCAATGTACAGGCTGGGTTCAGGTGCACTGGTATTTGGCCATACAACCCTGATATAATTCAGGAATGTGACTTTTCACCCTCACTTGTCACTGATCATCCTGCTTCAGCTGACACACTGTCCTTGCCAGCTGCCTCTCAGGTCACCTCTTCAGCCATCTCTCAGACCACTGTGCCCACTGCTATCCAGCCCACCTCTCCAGCTGCGTTCCAGGCCACCTCTCCAGCTGCCTTGCAAAAATTAATTTAAGGTTAGGGTTAAAAATCTGATTTTATGACTGTGGCGGTACCAGCTACTAACCTGCGACTCTTAATGGGAAAGTAATCTAAAAGTAAAAAAGTAATCAGATTACGTTACTGAGTTTGGGTAATCCAAAAGTTACGTTACTGATTACAATTTTGTAGTTAACTAGTAACTAACGAATTACATTTAGAAAGTAACTTACCCAACCCTGCTAAATGCCGATGCATTTTCAAAGCGCAAGATCGGTTACAGAAATAAACTGTGTTTTACACCTGCATTTGGAGTTGAAAGTCATTAATGTTAGCAGCCAGTAGAAACTAGGGATATACACTCACTGGCCAGTTTATTAGGTATACCACCCGGTTCACGAAAATGGATCGCTGCTACAGTGAGTCACATGGCCGTGGATTGCTATATAAAGCAGGCAGACGGGCATCAAGGCATTCAATTACTGTTCGATTGAATGTTAGAATGGGCAAAACGAGTGACCTAAGAGACTTTGAGCATAGCATGATCATTGGTGTCAGCGGCAGTCCTGTGTGTGAAAACAGCTCGTTGATAGGAGAGGACGAATGACAATGGAAATAATCGTGCAAGCTAACAGGCGGGCCACAGACAAATCACGGCGCAGTAAAACAGTGGTGTGCACAACAGCATCTTGGAATGCACACCTTGTTGATCCTTGTCATGGATGCAGCAGACGGACCACACCGGGTTCCACTCCTATCAGCTAAAAACAAGAAGAAGCAGCTCCAGTGGGCACGTGATCACAAACATTGGACAATTGAGGAGTGGAAATACATTGCCTGGAACATGACAGCAAGTTCAGTTTACGGAGTGGCCTGCGCAGTCCCCAGACCTCAACCCAATAGAGTATCTTTGGGATGAGATGGAACGGGCTGTTCGCAGCATGAATGTACCGCCGTCCAATCTGCAGCAACTGCACAATGCCATCCCGTCTGCATGGACTAACATCCCTGTGGAACATTTCCGATACCTTGTAGAATGTCCCGAATAATTCAGGCTGTTCTGGAGGCAAAGGGGATCCAACCCGGTACTAGATGGGTATACCTAATAAACTGTGCATCACGTCACTTCTCTGGAGTCCAGAGCAAGCAAAATCATACGGCCCACTTGTAGCGGCGGTTGCCAGAGAGGATGGAAAGCATGTTCTGGCTGCACCGTGCCATCACTTTGGAGGGCTGCCTGCCTGCAGAGTGGTCATTGCCAGCCGGGTAGCCCTGTTCTTCCTCACAAATATCGTAAAAAATTGGCCAGAATGTTACATCTTCATCCCATAATATTGAAGGCAGTGCGATGTTACAGCTGCTTAAGACATAGCTAGTAGCCAATATGAAATATGAAAATGATCAATCAAATCGCCAGGTAGCCTATTATGGTTCGGGTAAAGATGAGTCGGTAGTAGATTGCTAAACTGTATTTAATATGGATGATAAACGTAGGCCTACTTTGTTTTTGCCAGGCAAAACTGGAGGAAATGAAACAAGTTCTTTCTGGTCAAAAATCTAGATATGCACGGCTGCCTTTGCACGCCAATGACTGGTCATTGGTTAACAATCAAGACACCCAACTTTATGGTTCTGAAGCATAGATGAGAATTTAATGACTTGTGGGCAGTGGGTTCAGAACTATAAAACATTTATAAAAATATATTTATTGGGGGGAAATTATACCACCACCAAAAAGGGCACTTTGGAGATTGGAAGGGCAAAGGGGCATGTGCTCTGCACAGGTATCTGTGCATGTGCCTGGTACTGAGCAATTAGTGCTTTTTGAGGTTCAGTTTCAGTTTGATTATTAAAAAATAATCACGGTTTTCGAATTATTTTCTTAAACATTAAAGCTGCAATATGTAACTTTTTGGGCGACCCAACCAAATTCACAAAGAAACGTAGTTATAGATCTGTCACTCTCATTGAAAGCAAGTCTAAGAAGCGGTAGTTCAAATTCATCCCAAAGGTGTTAAGATGGCATTGAGGTCAGGGCTCTGAGCAGGGCAATCAAGTTCTTCCACACCGATCTCAACAACCCATTTCTGTATGGACCTCGCTTTGTGCACAGGGGCATTGTCATGCTGAAACAGGAAAGGGCCTTCCCCAAACTGTTGCCACAACGTTGGAAGCAATTTTTACACGCTACACGCTTCAGCGGTCCCGTTCTGTGAGCTTGTGTGACCTACCACTTCGCAGCTGTTGTTGCCCCTAGACGTTTCCACTTCACAATAACAGCACTTACAGTTGACCGGGGCAGCTCTAGCATGGCAGACATTTTATGAACTGACTTGTTGGAAAGGTGGCATCCTATGATGGTGCCACGTTGAAAGTCACTGAGCTCTTCAGTAAGGCCATTCTACTGCCAATGTTTGTCTATGGAGATTGCATGGCTGTGTGCTCGATTTTATACACGTCAGAAATAGTTGGCTGAAATAGCCTAATCCACTAATTTGAAGGGGTGTCCACCTACTTTTGTATAGTTAGTGTACATTGCCTTTAAGCAACTGCTCTCTATCCCGCTTGATCCTGCATTCTTCAGTCTCTTCTCTCCCTCTCCATGTCTGCCCCCACACTAACCTAATTGCTTCCTTGCCAAAAGGAGGTAATAGAGGGGAGGACCGTCTTCCGTTTGCCTACTAACGAATCAACACTCTCCTCGACCACTTATCAGTTTCCAGGTCATGGAGGATGGAGGGCCGAGGACAGACTTTTTCCCAAATGAGAAAAGGTCATTGTCTTACATCAGATAGCGAAGTCTCCGTCTGCACCGTCTGTCAGTTGATGGATAAGTAGGAGTGGCGCCATCTGCCGGAAAAGAACGCTCCCACAGTACAACAAGAGTCTTATCTCTTTCTCTCTCTGTTTCAGAGGAAGCCTGAGCTCATGAATCTACCACAGAAGACAGACTTACTACATACAACATGACTGAAGGATCTGAGAGGTGGTGGTGTTGTGGAAATAAAGCACAGCTAGTTAAAAGTCAATATCAACTCCACTTTTGTGCACCACTTTACAATACTACATATACCAGGTAGAATGCTGATAAGTGATAATAAAAATGTTCCATATTAATATACTCTGACCTTGCTTTACCGGAATACAGAATAGACTACAGCAGCCTCCTAACAAGTACAAGTCAGACATTTTCTAAATCATTTTTTAAATTAAAACTACAGAAAAAGGGCTTAGTTTAGCAGTGAACAATCAAATGCAGAGAGGGAGGTCAGGAGAGGGGGAGGCAGAAAGGCAAAGAGAGGTCAGGGAAAGAGCAAATCGAGAACAGGGGAGGAAGGCTTGTAGAAAAAGGGCAACCAATGCATTGTAACAGCATCATCATTATTATTCTTTATTACAATCCACAATTATTAAATGTCTCTGATGCAGTTAAAACAGTCGAACACTGCAAGGGGGGCAACGTCAGTATGAAAATAAGCTTTAAAATGCAGCAAAAAAACTAGCAAATGCGTCTCAAGGCATCAATCGACCTCATAATGACTCATTCAAACATTGTCACCTTAGCAGTCATTCTGTATTCCAAATGGCACCCTATTCCCTATATAGTGCATTACTTTTGACCAGAGCCTAATGTGCCCTGGTCAAAAGTAGGGCACTAAATATGTAATAGGGTGCCATTTGGGACACAAGCAGAGCCTCCTCTCCTTTATAATATACACAGTTCAAACAGAAGCTCCTAAAAAACTGTACAGCCGTCGTTCTGTAGAGGGAGCGCAGAGAGCCAAGGCCAACTCTTTGGTACAGATATGTACAAGATTGGGCTCAAGATATGGTGTGCGCCCAAAATGGCACCCTGTTCCTAACTATATAAAGAATGAGGTGCCATTTTTTTCTGAATCTGTTCTGCAATAGGATACAGAACTATTCTGATTCTGATCATTTTTCTGAAACTGGAAAATTCTCATGATCTTGTATCACACCATCTAGCTAAACAAAAATCATTATTTTCTCAGAGGCAAACCTTATCTAGAACCTTAAACATCACAGGAGAGGTATGAAACTAGCCAGCAGATTCCGACCCTATGTTACGCTTGTTTACACTGAGCTGCACTGGGGTCGGAACACAATCATTGTTAGATTAAGATACCACTGAGCCGGTGCGAGATATGGCCCGGAAAACGTACATCAATGCAGGGATGGGATGTGCCCAATGATATATATACAGACATTAGATTACTTAGATGGGGCTCTGTTTTGAAGCCACCGCGCCGTCATCTTGGCACTCCCTCACCATTGTAAAAAATATTTTGGAAACTATAAAAATGCATTTATTTATTTATTTTTAGTCATTTAGCAGACTCTCTTATCCAGAGTGACTTACAGGAGCAATTACGGTTAAGTGCCTTGCTCAAGGGCACATCGACAGATTTTTCACCTAGTTGGCTCTGGGATTAGAACCAGCGACCTTTCGGTTACTGGCACTGCGCTCTTAACCACTAAGTTTGCCACGTTTATTCTGTTAGACACCTTGATTCATACTTTTAAATTATATTATGTGAGCTAAACATAAAAAAAATACAGGTAATTTTGTCCTTTAATTTAATTGAAATACTGTAGAACTCCATTAATTGCTATGAAGGACTGCCTCTTCTGGGGAGTGCTAATATGGCCGACCGGTTGCTTCAAAGTCACTCATTGGTCATACATAACATCAGCAATCCAGGGTTTATATACATAATTGGATGTGCCACTGTACCTATATCCAAACTGATACATCAAGAAGATTGAAATACTGCCAGTTTTTCCAGAAAAATGCCCTTTTCGTCCTCATGCAAGCGAGCAGTAGCCACCAACACCATTTTGGAATGGCAGTTTCAGCCAATCAACTCCTTTTTGTTCAACGTGCCGTGCCATTCCATAATGGCTGCTGTGGCTACTGCTAGCTCGGATGAGGAGGACAAGGGTAGTTTAGATATAAGTACAATTTGGAGTACAGTGGCACGTTCCATCGCTGCATTGAGGTACGTTTTACGACTCATACCTCGCGCCGGCTCCGCAGTGTCTTAACCATGATTGCATTCCTGCTGGCTAGTATGAAACATGGTTATTCCGTAGCACTGGTATAGTCATGGTCTGTGGATCCATGCAGGTAACAGAAGGTAGTAAATTAAACACGGGACAGAGTTTGATGGTACCATCTCCACACTGTGCTAAGTGCCATTCCAAAACTGCTGCCTGGTATGAGACATGGAAGGATAGGACAGGGATGATGTCATAGAAGAGACACAGAACCACATGCAGAACCAGAAGTTCCATTCCTTTCAGTCAGTTCCAGTTAGTTCACATCTGTTCCCAGTTCAGGAATACTTAATGGCGAATCAATAGAATCTATAACAGAGTCCAAACCCTTTTCATTACATTCTAGGCAGCTACTCTTCCCCACAATCCTACACACATTGTAAATATGCTTTGTTATTGAAGGAAAAGATTCAAACTAACCTCTATCAATACTGTATATAAAATCACTACCATTTGGATGAGCTAGTATAGTGGTACAGTGGGTGTTTTGTAGATATGATTGGTCTTGAAAATGTCCACTGGAGGTCTGTGAGGTTTGATCTTAACTCTGATTGAACATGCACAGCTGTCAAACAAAGAAACAAAAAGAAAAACACTGAATGAAACTTGTTAGAGGTGTCAATGGCATGGAGAAAAACATGCGTAAAGAAAGAAAAAGAGATCAGATACTCAAGTCATTTCCAGTCAGTACCAAAAAGGAACAAAATAAAGAGATATAGATAGATATAGTGCTGCCGGATTGGACTTCCTTGTGTTTGTTTATCTGGAACCAGTGTTTTCTATGAAGGCCACCAGTAGGGCTTTAGCAGCCAGTCTAGTGTGGTGTGTGTTGAGGAGCCACTAGGGAGGCAATGCAGGCATGGTGCTGGCAACGGCTTCCTCCTAGTGTGTATGTATGTGTGTGTATGCTTGTGAGTATGTATGTTTGTGTGTGTATATGTACATATGTTCATGTATGTGTGTGCATGTGTGCATGTATGTGTGGACTGTATGTGCTGCTTGTTGGCTGTAGTAGCGCTGTGGATCCTCTAGGAGGCGATCCATGCGTGTCGGAGGCACTCTGCAGCCGTAGCTCTCTTCTCTGGTACCAGGTCCAACATTGGGAGCAGGAAGCTAGAGAAGGTAGCTGCCTCCTCTTTAGACCACTCATATTTCTCCACCAGCACCTCCAAAAGACCCCACGGCTTCAGCTTGGTAATGTGCCTCAGGTCACCTAGGGAGGGAGGGAGGAAGTTAACTACACACACATACCCAAGACAGTTTAGTTTACATGTGGGGGGGGGGGGGGAAACATACACCCACACTTTTAGACAAGGCTCAACTTTAAACCTGCTATGACACGCACACGAAAACTATGGTAACACACACACACACACAGCAGATGGGGTAAACTACAAAGCAGAATCAATGAATTAGCCAGCTAACTCTGATAAACAACCAGCAATTCTTTATTTTGTCATTCATTAACAAAGCTAAACTCAGATATGTTTTTGTTTGTTGAGTCAATTTGACCATGCCCATTTCAAGCATATCCTTCTAAAAAAACACAGTTACTTCATAATATTTAGGCAAGTTTGATGGCTAACTTATTGATCCTGGTTTGTAGTATACCACTCTAGTGTAGTGTTCGATTACCTTTCTTGGTGAAGAACTCCTTGGAATATTTTCCGGCCAGGATCAGCTTCCTAGGAACTTTACCCAACAACTCAATGATCAACGCTATGTGGTCTACACAAGAGAGGAGGACGACAAATGAATTAGACGGTGCCAATCTCATTTGTGATGGTCTGCAGAATCCTCACGGATATAGCAGCAGGATCTACACAACAGGATGTGAGTGAGTGTGTCTTGAGGTATAACATGTTTGAAGGACTATAAAGGCACAATCATGTGCATTATAGGGAGGGAAACATACCTTCATCTCGAGAGTAGTCTTCCCCAGAGTGAGGCTCAAACAGGTAGTCTCCTGTAGCCAGCTCAAAGGCCTGGAAGGGACAGTCACATATATAGTTACTATAATACAGTACAACAAACCATTGTATATCACACAATACAAATCACACAAAATCAGTCAGTCAGCCAGCATGTCAGTCAATCAGTCAGTGTCTCTCAGTTACCGAAATGTGTTCTTTATGCATTGTCCTTGTACTCTTTCTGTCTTGTCGTCTTTGTGTGTGTTTTCCCTCCATTCCATCCCTCACATTCCTTTGTGGTTAGCTGCCTTCTGAAAGCATTACACTCCTCTTGTCCTTCAAGGAAGGCTGCTCTCCTTTGTCTGTGTGTTACCTTCAGGGAAAACTCTCCTTTGTGTTGGTGTAGGCAACTAATTAAGTAAATCTCAGTGGATTCCCCTGCGCTGTGTAGGCCCAGTCCATAGCTGGTTTTAAAACGCTGAGTCGTACCAGACAGGGGATAGACTGATGACTAGCCAGCCCGGCAGCTCAATACAAATACATATCAGAGCACTGTCTGCTAGGCTAGTTAGTTAAAGATTTTCTGAGGCTAGTTATACATTTACTAAGGTGTTTCACATTCTTGGGGGACCTCCTTGGGAAACTAAACAATTTATTAAACGTGGTTGTACTTGTGAGTTGTAACCCACATTTTTCTTTACCTGACTAAGTCAACATCATACAGCCCGACCTGACTTGACCTGTAATAGTTGGTAAGCACAGAAACTTTCCTTTCGTGTTCCTACTGACAGGAACATGGAGGCAGACTGGCAAGGCCAGTGTGTGTGTCCTCTATCCTCTCTCTACCCACCATTGTGGCAGTGCTCCAGATATCAGCAGGCGTCCCGTAGCCGGCTCCCATCAGCACCTCCAGAGAACGGTACTGACGAGTTTGGATGTCATCTGTAAAGTGCTTGTGCTGAGGAGGAGAGGGGGAGAGAGAGGGAGAGAGGGGGAGAGAGAGAGAAAGAGAGTCGGATAGATGACTCGTATTGGTGTAAGCCTTTAAGTCATACACTGTAGTAAAACCCTTGCTGTCTGTCACATATCCGGACATATTTATTCCATCATCTGGTCGTTTAGCGTTGACAGGATGAGAAGTGGCTCTTCCACAATACCCGGTCCTGATTAACGATGAAGTACTTCAAGCTAGCGAGCAAGGAAGGATGATTTGGGCTCAAATAATGACTGTACTGTACTCACCACCCAGCAGGCATTCCCCAGGTCAGCTATTTTGATCTGGATCTTGTCTGCATTGAGAGGTTCCAGAGGGTTGACCAACAGACTACCTGCTGCTACTTTATCTAAAAAGAGAGCAGGGAGAAGAGGGTGGAAAGTGGAAAGAGAATAAGGAGAGGAACAAAACGCAATATATAACTAGAATGTGAGTGTTGTGTGATGTGGCACCGCCCTGAAAAAGTCAGTTCTACCAAGTCAACTGGAAGAGACGGAAGACAGAAAAGATTGAAAGAGAAGTACTGAGGTGGTGATATTATAAGGAGCACTCAGAAAGATGACAGAAGGAGCAGTGAAGAGGTGGTTACTGGGGAGAAAGAGGAGACATTACAGCTATTGACACTTACAGATAACACTTACGCCACCAACAGGAGTGTATTCAGTGAGGTGAAACATTTAGAACGTTGCAACTAGAAATGTCAGGAATAGAGCTGACATGATACATGAATCTATATTTCAAAGAGACATGTCTGAACTACATCATCTCTATTCTATCCGAATGTTCTATAAGGTTTCCCCTCCTGATGAAGTACCCAGCATAGTGTCACCTCTCCCCCTCCACTAACCGTTCCTCTCGCCCTCCTCTCTTCCAGGCACCACCTCCGTCTCCATCTCCTCGTCTTTTCTCTCCTCCTCATCCTTCTCTGGTCGTTTACACTCCTCCGTCTCTCCCTCCGTTCCTCTCCCTCGCCATTCTTTACCGTCTGTTCCGGGGTCGCCGTTGCATTCTGGGTAAGCTGCGTTGGCTGGCAAGTCCCGTCCCTGGGTACTGGCGTTGTCGGGGGCTACGGCGTCAAGTTTGTTGGCGTTCTGTTGGTCCTCCTCTTCTTCTTCGTTGGTCCTCTGTACCGCATGGCTCTCTGAGTGGGCGTGGCCATTGCAGTTCACCTCCATCCTGCTCTCCTCCCGCTCTTTCTTCTCTTCCGTTTTATCTGGAGCTGGGTCTAGAGGACAGAGGGTTAGGGATAGGACAGTCAGTCACATAACCATATATCAACAAGTCAAATCGGATTTGTCACATGTGCCGAATACAACAGGTGTAGACCTTACAGTGAAATGCTTACTTACTACTGATCAGCAACCCTGGTCCCATGACATTTGGTCCAAATATTGTTGGAAATCCACTACATGGCAGCCAGGCTGCCAGAATCACTGATCTACAAATCACCTTGCATGCCATAAGACTACTCATTATGTAATCAAGATTAGCGATTCTGCGCCTCCAATTGATCTCCCCAAACACATGTTTTGCCTTTCAGTTTATTTTAAAAGGTGAACAGGAACAGAATCAAATGGTGGTCCATAATTTAAAATGTGTTCTGTAAAACCATTGTGTTTGTTTACCTGCTGTGACATCATTAGCGATGTCCTGTAGCGTGTCGGAGGTGGGCGGGGGGGCACAGGGAGGGGCGTCTGTGGTCCCTGTCCTCTCCTCGTCTTCCCCCTCCTCTTCCTCTCCTACCTCCGGCGCTCCCTCCATCTCCTGAATCCTCTTCTCTAACATCTCTGCCTGCTTCCGCTGTTTCTTCTTCATCTTCTTCTTCTTGTTCTTCGACATCTTTGCTGTCTGAGGAGAGGGATAAGGAGAGGGGGATGAAGAGAGGAGTGAAGAAGGGAAGAGAGAAGAGGGTTCAAGGCTTGGACTACTGTACAATTTGTAAAACTGCTTTTCCATTGATAAGTGTGAACAGAGAGCCACCCACTCCCATACATTATATGGTAGCAGCAACCACACTCTCAAACACATCATGCTTTTATAAATAACGCATAAAAACTGAGCGACTTACTGGTTTGGGTGCAGGGGCTGTGCTCACTAGGCAGAGAGAAGAGAAAGAGAACATTCTAGTCAGTGTCATATCCTCAGCTAGATAATCACTAAACCAGCAGCATAGGATCTGTCAAATCTGCCTCAGTAATTAGCATCCGGTATCAGTAGCACAGTGTCTGTAGTGTATTGTATTGTCCCTAGAATTTCTAAGCAAACAGCTGGAGGCAGGGCTTTCTCCTATTGATCTACATTTTTATGGAATGGTCTGCCTATCCATGTGAGAGATGCAGACGGTCTCAACCTTTAAGTCTTTACTGAAGACTCATCTCTTCAGTAGGTCCTACGATTGAGTGTAGTCTGGCACAGGGGTGCGAAGGTGAACTGCAAGGCACTGGAGTGACGAACCACCCTTGCTGTCGCTGCCTGGCCGGCTCCCCTCTCTCCACTGGGAGTCACTGTCTTACTAGTGCTCTCCCATGCCGTCCCTAGGAGGGGTGCGTCACATCTAGCCAGGCTTTTTTCTCTATACTCGACTTGAGTGGGTTGAGTCACTGACGTGAGCTTCCTGTCCAGTTTTAGGCCCTCTCGCGCTCATGCGGTGGGGGAGATCTTTGTGTGCTATACTCAGCCTTGTCTCAGGGTAGTAAGTTGGTGGTGGTCTGTTGATATCCCTCTAGTGGTGTGGGGGCTGTGCTTTGGCAAAGTGGGTGGGGTTATATCCTGCCTGGTTGGCCCTGTCCGGGGTCCCCCGTCCCCACCTGTTTCAGTCTCCAATATTTATGCTGCAATAGTCTGTGCTGGGGGGCTAGGGTCAGTCTGTCCTATGTAGTGTAATTCTCCTGTCTTATCTGGTGTCTTATGTGAACTTAAGTATGGTTCTAATTCTCCCATCTCTCGCCCCCCTCCCGGAGGACCTGAGCCCTAGAACCATGCCAGAGGACTACCTTGCCTGACGACTCCTGGCTGTCCCCATGTAGTGTACAACAACTTGTCTAGCTAACAGCTACACTACATGACCAAAAGTATGTGGACACCTGCTCGTCGAACATCTTATTCCAAAATCATGGGCATTAATATGGAGTTGGTCCCCCCCTTTGCTGCTATAACAGCCTCCACTCTACTGGGAAGCTTCCACTAGATGTTGAAACATTGCTGCGGGGACTTGCTTCCATTCAGCCACAAGAGCATTAGTGAAATAGCAGAATCCACTAATTTGAAGGGGTGTCCACATACTTTTGTATATATAGTGTAAATGTACGTTTTTGACTTTGTTATACATTTTGAAATATTTTTGAGGCTCCACATGTTGTCATAGAAAATATTAATGTTATTTCTAACAACCAATGAGCAAATCCATCGTAAATCCAGAGCATATTGAACAATGAGAGGGCAGATTCGTGTGTGAACAGGCACAACTCCAATATAGTGTTTTTTTCTCAAGGTTGCCAGGATGTAACATGTCCTACCTATCAGTATACTTCTAACAACCTAAGCACTACAAAACTTATATTAGATCAAATAACACGTAGCAAATAAGTCATTACATTTTTTTGTTAACCAAAAATTCAACACTCATTGACCACCTGCTGAAGAAGAAAGATTTGGGGCCCAGTTATCCCTCTTGCTTCGCCTCTTGCTCTCTGGTTTGACTCACAAATGTCAGTTAATTACTATAGCTCCCGCCTTGGGCCAGTGCGGTCTGAGATATCGCGTGTGACTAACGTATGGACAGAGAGCGATCCACTGCCCCCTCCCAATCACCCATATAAGCAAACTTCTTTCATTTTAAACGTCACATTTCTCTAGTATAGGCTACTTATCGTAATGAACGATATTAGAAAAATGCCTTGTCTGTGTGCTGTGATTCACACACAGCTGTGCTGATACCCTCCCCAGAGCTGAGGACCAGCGGGACTCACACACTCCTCGCTGGCGCTCTATTGCTGCAGTTGCGGAGGGGCCGGTGTATGCGAGATAGGAGTGAGCCGAGCAGACAGAGGGAGACAAAGTAACGTTAGTCAAGGCAACTCGACTACAGCCAAGACTAGCTAACTTGTAGCAGCCACAATGTTATTTATCATCCCATATACAAGTGCCTGTCTTGACTCGAGTAGCCTAGATAAGCTAGCTAAACTAACCAGCTATATCTAGCTAGGGTAATTAAGTCTACAGCTGTGCTTTCTCCCCAACCTCATTCACCAAAAACAGCTTACCTGTTGGTTGCTCATAGTAGCCTGCTCCTTCTCATTTCGCTAATTTTTAATTCCGTAATTGTATTCAATCTTACATTGCATTAGTGAACTCTCACTCGCTACACATTGAGCCGTTTTGATTGGCCAACATAAAGAAGCTACGCAAGTGAAGGCTAACAGTCTTTATGGGGTCCAAGTCATAAAAACTACATTAAAAAGTTTGTTGATTTATTAAATTAATCATTTGAAATGTCATGGTATAAAATAGGCCTATACATTTGTTAATCTCGCAAAAATGAATACTCACAAGTATTTGAATATTAACGTCCATTCGGATATTCAAATAAACGTGCACATCCATCCCTATGCTCTCCCTCTCAATGTCATCTCTCACATTACACAGACGGATGGATCATCACAGCCAGATGAAAGAGTAGGTTGTTTCATAATTTCAACATCGCACCAGATCAAAGCCCAGTCTCATCTCAATCCTTCCATATCACCATCTTCAACTACCTTTGGCACCGCTCCAAAGTCTGAGCGCTCTCATTCATCCCTCAGATGATTTGGTCTCTGATGCTTGCGTGTGTGTGTGTGTGTGTGTGTGTGTGTGACTTTCCCTACAAAGCTCTTTATATACCAGCAAAACACAAATCCAGTCAATGAATGAATCATCTCAATGTTTTTACATTTGTGTTCTGATCAGTCTCAAACAGTGTCTCCTACACTGGCTGGTGAGCACAGACTGAAACACTGACTGACTGGCTGGCTTGACTTGGCAGGGTTTGTTCTTTTTGTTCCGAACATTGGGACAAAGCTCTATACAAAAATTTCCCTTTTTCCTTTATAGAGTTTTTTTTAATATCCTTTACACAGTGAAGAGTTTTGAATGAAAAGCACTACATTAAAGCTGGAACCCTTAGTTGCTACATCCATTGTTGGATATATACATTAATGATAGAGTGCATTTGGAAAGTATTGAGACACCTTGACTTTTTCCACTTTGTTACGTTACAGCCTTATTCTAAAATTGATTAAAAATCTACACACAATACCCCATAATGACAAAGCAAAAACAGGTTTTTAAGAAATGTTTGCATATATATATCAAAAAAGGAAATATCACATTTACATAAGTATTCAGACTCTTTACTCAGTACTTTGTTGAAGCACTTTTGGCAGCGATTACAGCCTTGAGACTTCTTGGGTATGACGCTACAAGCTTGGCATACCTGTATTTGGGGAGTTTCTCCCATTCTTCTCTGCAGATCCTCTCAAGCTCTGTCAGGTTGGATAGGGAGCGTCGCTGCACAGCTATTTTCAGGTCTCTCCAGAGATGTTCGATCGGGTTCCAGTCCGGGCTCTGGCTGGGCCACTCAAGGACTTTACGGGACTTGTCCCAAAGCCACTCCTGCGTTGTCTTGGCTGTGTGCTTAGGGTCGTTGTCCTGTTGGAAGGTGAACCTTCGCCTCAGTCTGAGGTCCTCAGTGCTCTGGAGCAGGTTTTCATCAAGGATCTCTCTGTACTTTGCTCTGTTCATCTTTCCCTCGATCCTGACTAGTCTCCCAGTCCCTGCAGCTGAAAAACATCCCACAGCACGATGCTGCCACCTCCATGCTTCACCGTAGGGATGGTGCCAGGTTTCCTCCAGACGTGACGCTTGGCATTCAGACCAAAGAGTTCAATCTTGGTTTCATCAGACCAGAGAATCTTGTTTCTCATGGTCAGAGTCCTTTAGGTGCCTTTTGGCAAATTCCAAGCAGGCTGTCACGTGCCTTTTACTGAGGAGTGGTTTCTGTCTGGCCACTCTACCATAAAGGCCTGATTGATGGAGTGCTGCAGAGATGGTTGTCCTTCTTGAAGGATCTCCCATCTCCACAGAGGAACTCTGGAGCTCTGTCAGAGTGACCATAGGGTTCTTGGTCACCTCCCTGACCAAGGCCCTTCTCCCCGATTGCTCAGTTTGAAGAGTCTTGGTGGTTCCAAACTTATTCCATTTAAGAATGATGGAGGCCACTGTGTTCTTTGGGACCTTCAATGCTGCAGACATTTTTTGGTAAACTTCCCCAGATCTGTGCCTCGACACAATCCTGTCTCGGAGCTCTACGGACAATTCCCTCAACCTCATGATTTGTTTTTTGCTCTGACATGCACTGTCAACTGTGGGACCTTATATTGACAGGTGTGTGCCTTTCCAAATCATGTGCAATCAATTGAATTTACCACAATTGGACTCCAATCAAGGATGATCAATGGAAACAGGATGCATCTGAGCTCAATTTCTAGTCTCATAGCAATGGGTCTGAATACTTTTATTACGGTTTATTTGTAATACATTTGCAAACATTTCTAAAAACCTGTTTTCGTTTTGTCATTATGGGGTATTGTGTGTAGATAAATGAGGTCAATTTTAGAAGGCTGTAACGTAACACAATGTGGAAAAAGGGAAGGGGTCTGAATACTTTCCAAATGCACTGTATACCCACTGATTCTTGAAGAATATAACTTATGAATGCCTCATGAGCTTAGTTCAACTGTCGTACTTCATTAGAACTGAAAATACAAAATGGATTTACTCCAATGTTTGTAAACAATGTAAACAAACACTTACATGTTTATAATTTTGATATCATGGATAGTCAGTCCTTTAATCCATAGCTCTGTCTATGAATTTGAGAAGTTACATTTCTCCAGGCCCATCCCTCAGCTTTTTACCAAAACACTAACCTAACATGCTGACCAAACCGGCTCCGCATGTGCGTCTGTGTGCGCCATGGTGCAGGTGTTGATTTTGTCTATTCCCACCAGACGCGTTCATGACACGCAGGTTAAAATACCAAAACCAACATTCATGGACATTAGGCTAGCTTGCTGTTGTCCTGGAAAATAAACATTGGGTTGATATTTTACCTGAAATTCATATGGTCCTTTTATTTTTGCTGGTTCTTTGTAGAATTTTGACCCATGTTGAGTCATACAAAATCGTGTGTTCTCTACTCCGACAATTAATCCACAGATAAAAAAGGGGAAACCTAGTTCAGTTTTCTCCTTGTTCATTCTTCTTCTTGTTCTTCTTCTGTGGATTTTATATGGCAGTTAGCAACCAACTTTAAGGCGCATTACCACCACCAAATGGACTGGGGTGTGGCCCTCGTTCATCTTTCAATCACCCACGTGGGTATGTGCTAAAAAAACAAAAACAATGAGGAGATGGGAGAGGCGGGACATGCAGTGAGTCAAGAGTCTAAAATAGAACCAAGTTCTATTTTAGCGCCTGGCTATGCAGACGTTTGTTGACGCGTGCGAGCAGTTTGGATGAATGATTGATTCATGTGTTTAAATATGCATGTGTAAATGTATTTTGCAACGCGGGCGGTGTGGTTAGCATGTAACGTGGCAGGCGTAAAAGGAACGTCTGTGCGGGGTTAAAAGAAACCGTAAGCATCCGGTTCAGGCTTTGCCTCATCTCTGCTTTTTCCCTGAAAACCATATGCCTCGGGTTCTTCCGACCCCTCTCAGGGTGCCAAAACACATGCGGGGTGACAGCTTTATTGTTTAAATTAAAGATTATAGCTTTACAATCCCATTATTCACTATCCCAAGACCTGATTGGTAACGTTATGTTCATGTTGATACAGCCTTCCTAAACGGTTCACTATGTTAATTCAAAATGCGTTGTGCCAATTGGTTGAGAAAAGTGTCAGTCACCTGTAGCTCAGCTGGTAGAGCACGGCGCTTGTAACGCCAAGGTAGTGGGTTCGATCCCCGGGACCACCCATACACAAAAATGTATGCACGCATGACTGTAAGTCGCTTTGGATAAAAGCGTCTGCTAAATGGCATATTATTATTATTATTATTACCTGCGGATCCAGAGGAGGCTGGCGCGCCTGTCCTCTGCAGCCTCGTCAGCCATCTTCCTATTGTAGGATGTGTATATGTGTCTACTTTGTGTTGTGTCTGTGTATGTACCTGCAGATCCAGAGGGGGGTGGAGCTCCTGTCCTCTGCCACTCCGTAGCCTCAGCAGCCATATTCCTAATGTAGGGCTCGTTAACCGTCAACAAGATGTTCTCTGGCTTGATGTCCGTGTGGATGATCTTACACTTTGAGTGGAGGTAGTCCAGCCCCTGGAGAACCTATAGGAGGAGGGTAGAGCATCAGTAAGACCACTGCTGCGTAGGGTTTCAACAGGAGAATTCCAAGAATCAGGGAAACTTTTGGGAAAGTGTCCGGAATTTTCAACCCTCTCAATAAAAAAAAAAGCATAATTACTAACAGTTTCAACGTAAAAATTCTGTAGAGTTCTGTTGAATGTTTGTTTTTGCTAAAAAGAATGCACCCAACCTGGAACACACCCAATGTTGTGTGAGGAATAAGGTGTTGTTTTACCTGTCGTATGATGCTCTTGACACAGGGCAGAGGAAGGCCCTGGTAGTTAGACTTGATGATCCACTTCAGCAGGTGATGACCCAGAACCTCAAAAACCATACAGACATCTGATGGGGAGCTGGGTCAAGGACTCAAAACACACACACCCTTGTCATTCTCACCAAATCTAATTTGATTTGTCACATACACGTATTTAGCAGATGTTATAGCGGGTGTAGCGAAATGCTTGTGCTTCTAGCTCCGACAGTGCAGTAATATCTAACAAGTAATATCTAACAATTTCACAACATATACCCAATACACACAAAACTAGTAAGGAATGGGATTTAAGAATATTTACATATACAAGCAATGACAGAGCGGCATGGACTAAGATACAGTAGAATATTATAGAATAGAATGCAGTATATACATATGAGATGAGTAGTGCAAGATATGTAAACATTATTAAAGTGACTAGTGTTCCATTTCTTAAAGTGGCCAGTGATTTCAATAGGCAGCAGCAGCCTCTAATGTGCTAGTGATGGCTATTTAACAGTCTGATGGCCTTGAGATAGACGCTGTTTTTCATTCTCTCTGTCCCAGCTTTGATGCACCTGTACTGACCTCGCCTTCTGGATGACCAGGCAGTGGCTCGGGTGGTTGATGTCCTTGATTATCTTTTTGGCCTTCCTGTGACATCAGGTGCTATATGTGTCTTGGAGGGCGGGTAGTTTCCCCCCGGTAATGCGTTCGGCAGACCGCACCACCCTCTGGAGAGCCCTGCGGTTGCGGGTGGTGCAGCTGCTGTACCAGTAGGTGATACAGCCCGACAGGATGCTCTCAATTGTGCATCTGTAAAAGTTTGTGAGGGTTTTAGGTGCTAAGCCGAATTTCTTCAGCCTCCTGAGGTTGAAGAGGCTCTGTTGCGCCTTCTTCACCACACTGTCTGCGTGGGTGGACCATTTCAGTTTGTCGTTGATGTGTACGCCAAGGAAGCTTTGCACCTTCTCCACTGCGGTCCTGTCGATGTGGATAGGGGGGGTGCACCCTCTGCTGTTTCCTGAAGTCCACAATCATCTCCTTTGTTTTGTTGATGTTGAGTGAGAGGTTATTTTCCTGGCACCACACTCCCAAAGCCCTCACCTCCTCCCTGTAGGCGGTCTCGTCATTGTTGGTAATCAAGCCTACTACTGTTGTGTCGTCTGCAAACTTGATGATTGAGTTGGAGGCGTGCTTGGCCACGCAGTCATGGGTGAACAGGGAGTACAGGAGTGGGCTGAGCATGCACACTTGTGGGGTCCCCAGTGTTGAGGATCAGCGAAGTGGAGATGTTGTTTCCTACCTTCACCACCGTTGAATTGTGTCTCCACTTTGTCTCTATACTGATGTTTTGCCAGTTTAATTGCCTTGCGGAGTGAGTAGCTACACTGTTTGTATTCTGCCATAATACGGTCGGCATTTGATTGTGAGATATTCTAGGTTGGGTGAACAGAAGGACTCGAGTTCCTGTATGTTACTACAATTACACCATGAGTCGTTAATCATGAAACACACACCTCCGCCCTTCTGCTTCCCGGAGAGATATTTATTCCTGTCTGCGCGATGAACTGAACACCCATCTGGCTGGACCGATTTCGACAGAATATCCCAAGAGAGCCATGTTTCCGTGAAACAGAGTATGTTACAGGCCTTGATGTCTCTCTGGCATACACCTACACAATATAAAAAATGTGAACACCTAAGGTTCTGCCAAGAACCAAGATGGAAGTGGGCCAACGAACCGAGAAATCATTACGACCTCTTCCAGAAGCTAGGAATGCTAGGACGGAGGAAGTCTGGGCACGTTGCCCGGACACCCAGCTGTGACTAGGATGTAAGCATTGCTGGGACGGACAGGCAAACTGTCACTACATCTGTGGCTCTGTGCGTTTCATCTAGCTGGAGTGTTTTGTATTGTGCTGCCAAAAGCCATACAACACGGTCCAAACGTCAGTGCAACATCTGTGAACCACTGATAGTGTCAAGACTGGGGCAATAAAGATTTTAAGGCTCATAATATTGACCAATACTAACGCACTGATCTTAGTGAGTACTGAGTAGATGGAATATGCCTGCTTCCTTTGTCTGTTTCAGGGTTATTTTAGTAAACTAAAACGAAAAAACTATTTAGTAAACGTTTGAAAAATGTACTGAAACTATTATCTTGGACTCAAAAACTAACTAATATAAACAAATTATGTTCAGTTTTTTCTCTCTCTTTTAAACTTTCTGCAAAAATTTGAATGGGATTTTCTAGGTTTTTTCAAGATTCCGAATCTGGCAGGTAAGTGCTGCGAGGAGATGGTGATGTTTCAAATTGGCCTAGCTTGTGCAGACCTATCACTAGCTATCAATGTTGAATTGTTGTGGGAGCATCGAGCACTCCTTAAAAGCCCAGTGCAGTCAAAGATTTGATTTTCCTCTATACAGTATATATATTCAAAAGTATGTGGACACCCATTAAGATTACTGGATTCGGCTATTTCAGCAAGTTTCCACATACTTTTGGCCATGTAGTGTATTTCCACACTATGAGGTTGGAATAATACTGTGAAATTGTGAAAATGATAATGCCCTTTTAGTGTAAGAGCTGCTTGAAAGACCTCCTGAAATTTCTGCCTGTTTTGGTGGGATGGAGTTTTGGCCTTCCATGGTGACATTACCATGCGGTAAATTAGTTAATTGACCAATAAGAGTTCCAAACCTCTCTGCCAATAACAGCTAATTTTCAGTTTTCCCCTTCCCACTCACACCACTCCAATACACTAAGTCCAAAAATCTTCCTTGAGAAATTGCACTTTGCACTAAGCTATTTTTGTTTCTTTTTGACCATTTTTTAAATTGAAAACCACAGTAACACTTCAGCTCCACTATATGCGTCGCATTGCCTTGCCATCAGCGTCGTGTCAATGTGACGTTCTACCTGCTACACAGAGCAAGTAGTTTTGAGAGCAGAGAAGAGCAGAGCGGAAGAGAGTCTTTATTCTATTTTCCCCTACTGTGCTGTACCATATTCATCGATAATGCCTAAGTACAATAGCTTTGGTCCAGTTTTTCACAAGTACTCATTCAATTGTTGCTAGTGGTTGTACTAAATGATCCTCTGATTAAACCAAAGCAACATGTGTAGATTGCAAACATAGCTAGCTAGAGTTTCTGCTAGCTAGTAGCTTCTTGACTTCATAAATCTTAGTAAAATAACCAGTGGTGTATAGTCGAGGCCATATGCAACCGAAATCAACTTTATTTCTCATGATTTCAATTCACAAGATAGAATCAATAAGCGCGTCAGCCATCGACAATTGAACTTCGGCGATTCTTGAGCTTGGAAGCTGCCATTGGACGTGACGCAATGCGAGCGCAACACGGGCAGTGTAGTAGCTTGCATTGATTTCAAAGGAAGCATTCCCTCAATGGGTGATGGCAATGCCAGACACCCGATGGCTGTAGTGTAGCAGGGCCGTTAGGTACTTAATTGTTACCCAGAAATTATTTGATATTTAGACAGAATCTGCTGCATAAGACCTTTAAAAACAGACAGGATTCAACCTAACACAGGGGTTCCAGGCTTCTCTCAAACAACATTTCATAATCAGCAACAGAGGTCATGGAAAGCATATCACCTCCCGTAGAAATGATAGTACGGTCAATGTAATTAGCCTAATTTACGTTCCTCTAAATATCTCTATCAAACCGACAGCTATTGTCAGCAGTAATCCTCTGCCTATAAACATGAATTACACTTAGCACAGACAGTTTTCCCTAGTAGGAAGCCAACTGTGAGCAGTTCACCCTGAAGCTCAAATGTAAATATCACGGTCTACCTCTGATAAACTTCCCAGTATAGCACTACAAACAAACAAGGAACACAGAAAATAGCTCTAAATAGGCCACAATTACATACATAGTCTAAGAAACAAGATTCATGAAATCAATAAATTGCTATCATCGGATAACATTCATATACTGGCTATCTCTGAAACTCACCTAGATAATTCCTTTGATGATACATGGTTATAACATCTACAGAAGAGACAGGGATGCCAATGGGAGATGTGCTGCTGTATATATTCAGAGTCATATTCCTGTAAAGCTTAGAGAGGATCTCATGTCAAATGCTGTTGAAGTAATATGGCTACAGGTTCACAGGCCTCACCTAAAGCCTATTTTTGTGGGAAGTTGCTATAGACCAGGGTTTCCCAAACTCTGTCTTGGGGCCCCCCTGGGTGCACATTTTAGTTTTTGCCCTAGCACTGCACAGCTGATTCAAATAACCAACTCATCAAGCTTTTGATTATTTGAAAAACCAAAACCCAGGGGGAGCACCAGGATCGAGTTTGGGAAATCCTGCTATAGACCACTGAGTGCTAACAGTCAGTTTCTGGATAATGTGTGTGAAATGCTTGATGGTGTATGTGATATCAACAGAGAAGTATATTTTCTGGGTGACCTAAATATTGACTTGTTTTCATCAAGCTGTTCAGTCAAGAAAAAGCTTCAAACTGTAACCAGTGCCTGCAATTTAGTTCAGGTAATCAGTCAACCTACCAGGGTATATACAAACAGCACAGGAAATAAATCATTGATCACATCTTTCCTAATGCTGCAGAAATATGCTCTAAAATCAGTATCCACACCCCTCAGATCATAATATAGTAACAATATCTAGAAAAACCAAAGTTCCAAAGGCTGGGCCTAAAATAAAAAGATCATACAAGAGGTTAAAAGATCAAACAAGAGGTTCTGTAGTGATTCCCATGTTGAAGATGTAAAGAATTTGCTGGTCTGTTGTGTGTAATGAGGAGCATCCAGATGCCGCATTTATGAAATTGTATTTTCCAGTTACTAATAAGCATGCAGCCATTAAGAAACAGACTTTAAAAACTTCTAAATCCCCATGGATTGATGAAGAATTGAAAAACTATGGTTGAGGGAGACAAAAAGAATGGCAAATAAGTCTGGCTGCACAGCCGATTTGCAAACGTACTGTAAATGGAGAAATCATGTGACTAACCTAAACAAAAAGAAGAAACTGTACTACAAAACAAAGATAAATTATATATAAAGGATGATAGTAAAAAGCTTTGGAGCAGCACCTTCAATTAATCCGACACCCTCTGATATTGCCAGCTACTTTAATTACTTTTCATTGGCAAGATTAGCAAACTTAGGCATGACATGCCAACAACCAAACTCAACCTTCATACCCATGCATAACTGACCAAATTATGAAAGACAAGCATTGTCATTTTGAATTCTGTAAAGTGAGCGTGGAAGAGGTGAAAATTATTGTTGTTTATCAATAATGACAAACCACCTGGTGCTGACAACATGGATGGAATATTACTGGGGATGGTTGCGGACTATATTGCCATCTCTTCAATCTAAGCCTACAGGAAAGTGTGCGCCCTCAGGCCAGGAGGGAAGAAAAAGTCATTCTGTTACCCTAGAATAGCAAAGCACCCTTTATTGGTTCAAAGAAAAAAACCAAATCAGCCTGCTACCGACCCTTAGTAAACTTTTTGAAAAAATTGGTGTTTGACCAGATACAACGCTATTTCACCGTAAACAAATTAACAAATGCCTTTCAGCACGCTTATAGGGAAGGGCACTCAACATGTACGGCACTCACACAAATTACTGATGATTGTCTGAAAGAAATTGATAATTAGATTGTGGGAGCTGTTTTGCTAGACTTCAGTGCAGCTTTTGACATTATCGATCATAGTCTGCTGCTGAAACAACTTGTGTTATATGGCTTTACATCCTCTGCTATATCGTGGATTGAGAATTGCCTAACAGAACACAGAGGGTGTTCTTTAAATGAAGCCTCTAACGTAAACCAGGTAGAGTTTGGCATACCTCAAGGTAGTTGTATTGGCCCCATACTTTTTTATATTTTTACTAATGACTAGGGTTGGGCATAACTAAGGCTCTAAATTAATATTTTTCATTGGTCGCACTGGTGCTCCCAACTTAAAGTTAGGAGCACCACAATAAATTTAGGAGCACCAGAAAATAAGATTTTTCATTGAGATACAGCTTATATTGGGCCTATATGAATTCTAGCTACTTTTGAAGCACATGTTATGCCCTATAAACTAATATGTGACACGGTAAAGTACGTTTATTATGAATCCTAAAATGGTTAACGACGCGCAAGTAGTTTTAGAACGGACCACGACATGGTTCATGAATATAACATGCGGTCCCGGCGATCTGCTACAGCAAGATAAAAATTTACAATAGGTAGTTTTTGCTAATGGGGCAACCACAACGCATATTTTTTTATCCAGGGCATTTGGAAACAATGAAGCATTACAACAATTCATTACAACAATTATCTGGCCGATTTTCTTCCTAGTCACACAGTGCCCCAAAAAATATTTTGGTCGCACTTTAGAGCCCTGGCGGTATACAAATGTTCATATCGTCATATCGTCCTTCTCTCATTCCGCGATTTACGGTATCACAAGCTTAGTACACAAGAAAGCCCATTGAGTGTCTACTACCAGAACACTAACAAAACTAGCACAAGTACTACTGAATTTCCATAGAAGCTGCTAGCTAAATATGCGAACGAGCGCAAACAAAAATAAACTAATTGCAAAGACAGGCAATCCAACTCAAAGTTTTACATATATACAGTGCATTCGGAAAGTATTCAGACCCATTCACTTTTTCCACATTTTGTTACGTTACAGCATTATTCTAAAATTAATTTTAAAAAAAATTCCCCCTAGTCAATCTACACAAAATACCCCATAATGCCAAAGCAAAAAAACAGGTTTTTAGAAAGGTTAGCAAATTTATAAAATAAAATAAACTTAAATATTACATTTACATAAGTATTCAGACCCTTTACTCAGTACTTTGTTGAAACACCTTTGGCAGCGATATCAGCCTTGAGTCTTAATAAAATAAAATAATAATAATAACGCTATGAGTATGGGTATGACGCTACAAGCTTGGCATAACTGAATTTGGGGAGTTTCTTCTCCCATTCTTCTCTTCAGATCCTCTCAAGCTCTGTCAGGTTGGATGGGGAGCGTCGCTGCACAGCTATTTTCAGGTCTCTCCAGAGATGTTCGATCGGGTTCAAGTCTGGGCTATGGCTGGGCCATTCAAGGACATTCATAGACTTGTCCCAAAGCTACTCCTGTGTTGTCTTGGCTGTTAGGGTCGTTGTCCTGTTGGAAGGTAAACCTTCTCCCCAGTCTGAGGTCCTGAGCGCTCTGGGGCAGGTTTTCATCAAGGATCTCTCTCTGTACTTTGCGCTGTTAATCTTTCCCCAATACTGACTAGACTCCCGGATTCAGGCCAAAGAGTTCAATCTCGGTTTCATCAGACCAGAGAATCTTGTTTCTCATGGTCAGAGTCCTTTAGGTGCCTTTTGGCAAAGTGACCATCGGGCTCTTGGTCACCTCCCTGACCAAGGCAGTTCTCCCCCGATTGCTCAGTTTGGCCGGGCGGCCAGCTCTCGGAAGAGTCTTGGTGATTCCAAACTTCTTCCATTTAATAATGATGGAGGCCACTGTATTCTTGGGGACCTTCAATGCTGCAGACATTTTTTGGTACCCTTCCCCAGATCTGTGCCTCAACATAATCCTGTCTCGGAGCTCTACGGACAATTCCTTCGACCTCATGGCTTGGTTTTTGCTCTGACATGCACTGTCAACTGTGGAACCTTATATAGACAGGTGTGTGTCTTTCCAAACCATGTCCAATCAATTGAAGGGGGTCTGAACACTTATGTCAATTAGGTATTTTTATTTGTTTATTTTGTATAAACTTGCAAAAATGTCAAAAAAAACGGTTTTCGCTGTCATTATGGGGTATTGTGTGTAGATTGATGAGAATTTTTATTTACTGAATCCATTTTAGAATAAGGCTGTAACGTAACAAAATGTGGAAAAAGTGAAGGGGTCTGAATACTTACCGAATGCACTGTAGTAAGTACCGAAAGTAATTTTTGCTAAGTTTGGACATTTACAAGTGAATGTGAATGAGAGACATTGTATTTCCAAATACCCCGTTATACGGTATACCCGACCAAGCCTACTAATGACCTACCACTAGTATTGAGTAAAGCCTGAGTTCAATGTACGCTGATGACTCAACATTTCACAAGTTAGCTACCACAGCAAGTGAAATCCCTGCAACACTTAAAGAGCTGCAGTCAGTTTTAGAAAGGGTGGCAAGTAATAAGCTAGTCCTAAATATATCTAAAACTAAAAGCATTGATATTTGGGACAAATTAGCTAAACCCTAAACCTCACCTAAATCTTGTAATGAATAATGTGGCAATTGAGCAAGTTGAGGAGACTAAACTGCTTGGTGTAACTCTAGATTGTAAACTGACATGGTCAAAACATATTGATGCAATGGTAGCTAAGATGGGGAGAGGTCTGTCTGTGATAAAGCGCTCTTCTGATTTCTTGACATCACAATCAACCAAACAAGTCCTACAGGCCCTAGTTTTATCATGCCTGGACTACTACCCAGTTATATGGTCAAGTGACACAAAGGAGGATAGGCAAATTACAGTTGGCCCAAAACAGCGCAGCACAGCTGGCCCTTGGATGTAGACAGAGCGCTAACATGTCAATATTTCCTGGGTCAAAGTAGTTTAGATATTGACTGCATCACTACTTGTCTTTGTGAGGGCTAACACACAGCTCAGACACCCATACATACCGCACAAGACATGCCACCAGGGGTCTCTTCACAGTCCAAGTCCAGAACAGACTCTGGGAAACGTGCAGTACTACATAGACCTCTTCCACATCAAGTAACTGAAGCGAGCAGTGAAATCAGATTTTAAAAATAGATAAAACACCTTACGGCACAACAGACTGTGAAGAGACGCATACGCACACAAGGCGCTACAGAGAGTGGTGAGTACGGCCCAGGACATCTATACCATGTTTACGAAGGATATGACATAACATTTGATTTGAGCAGAAATACAACCTACAAAACATAAATGGCCCCTCCCCTCCCATAGGCTACTTTCTGTCCCTAACACTAAAACAAAATAATATAACAATGAAATCCAAAATGTTTATCAAATAAACTGAATAAAAACTAGTAAATCAAGTCGGAAAACTAACTGAAACTAAACTGAAATTCAAATAAAAAACAAACAAATATAAAAACCCAATACTATAATAACCTTGGTCTGTTTTGTTGAACATACTTTGTTGAACATGCTTGTGTATAAAAGTTGATAAAGCACTGTTGTCGTTGTTTTACTTAGGATACGACTTCCGTTCATGCCAGAGATCTTGAAGTCGTCTAGTAGCTGAACCACCTTCTCCCTGCTGGGGTCGTTCTGGTCCGTGTTCCTCACTGATCTCAGCAGCTTGATCTCATCCAGGGCTGTCTCAGTGTAGTGCTCTGCACTCTTCACCACCTTCATGGCCACAAAACGCTTCCCCCTGGAAATACAGGACAACATACAGTGTACAAAACATTAGGAACACCCTCCTAATATTGAGTTGCACCCCTTTTGCCCTCAGAACAGCCTCAATTCGTCGGGGCATGGACTACAAGGTGTCGAAAGCGTTCCACAGGGATGCTGGCTCATGTTGACTCCAATGCTTCCCACAGTTGTGTCAAGTTGGAAACTGTTGTGTGGTAAACCCAGCAGCTTTGCTGTTCTTGACACACTCAAACTGGTGCACATGGCACCTACAACCATACCCCGTTCAAAGGCACAAAAAAATTAACTCCCCGCCTCTCCTCCAAAAATAATATACCGCACATAAATATAAACGCAACAATTTCAACGATTTTACTGAGTTAGAGTTCATAAAAGGAATCACTCAATTGTGATAAATTCATTTGGCCCTAATCAATGGATCTCACATGACTGGGCATGGGCCCACCCACTGTGGAGCCAGGCCCAGTCAATCAGAATGAGTTTTTCCCCACAAAAGGGCTTTATTACAGACAGAAATACTACACAGTTTCATCAGCTGTCCTGGTGGCTTGTCTCAGATGATCCCGCAGGTGAAGAAGCCGGATGTGGAGGTCCTGGGCTGGCGTGTTTATACGTGGTCTGCGGTTGAGGCCAGTTGGAGGTACTGCCAAAATCTCTAAAACGACGTTGAAGGTGGCTTATGGTAGATAAATGAACATTCAATTATTTGGTAATAGCTCTGGTGGACAATCCTGCAGTCAACATGTCAATTGCACATTCCCTCAAAACTTGAGACATCTGTAGCATTGTGTTGTGTGACAAAACTACACATTTTTGGGGGTCTTTTGTCCCCAGCACAAGGTGCACCTGTGAAATTATCATGCTGTTTAATCAGCTTCTTGATATGCCAAACCTATCAGGTGAATTGATTTTCTTGGCAAAGGAGAAATGGTCACTAACAGGGATGTAAAGAAATTTGTGCAAACATTTTGAGAGAAATTAGCTTTCTGTGCGTATGAAAAATTTCTGGGATCTTTTATTTCAGCTCGTGAAACATGGGACCAACACTACATGTTGCGTTTATATTTTTGTTCAGTGTAGATCACCCCTTTACAAAAACAGAAATCGAAAAGGCAATTTCCTCTCTACAATCCGGCAAATCACCAGGAGACGATGGCTTTCCCCCAGAGTTTTATAAGGATTTGCTTATTCCTCTCTTGATGGATGTTCTAAATTTAGCTGCTGAGATGCAGAGCCTACCGGACTCCCTTTCCATGGCTATTATAACAGTAATACATAAGAAAAATAAAGATCATCTACAATGCTCTTCCTATAGGCCGTTCTCGCTCCTCAATGCCGACTATAAATCAATTTCTAAGGCGATGGCTAATAGATTAGGACAATATTTGCCAAACCTGATCAACACAGATCAAATGGGCTTTATACAGAAAATACACCTCCACCAATCATTTGTGCAGGTTATTCAACATAATTCACATGGCCAGTGTACAGAGCAATCCTAGTATAGCAGTATCTCTAGACGCTGAAAAAGCCTTTGATAGGCTGGAGTGGCCATACCTATTCAAGGTCCTTGCTAAGTTTAACTTTGGTCCTTCGTTTGGCAACTGGGTTAAGACTTTGTACCATAAACCGTAAGCCAAGATCCACTAATGGCATGTTGTCAGCCACTTTCCCCGCTCCTTTTGGTGCTAGCCATAGTTCCCCTGGCGGAGGCCATAAGAGCGGATCTTGGCATAAAGGGTTTTCAGATGGGCCAGATTGCGAACAATGAGATCTTGTGTGCTGAGAACATTATCTTGCTCATCTTTGACCGGACCAGATGCCTCTCAAAACTACAGACGCTTTGGGTACATACAGCTCTATATCAGGTTACAAAGTCAACATGGACAAAAGTGAAGTACTTCCATTGACTCGGTTTGTTTATAGCATCTGTGACAGGTCCCTTCAGATGGTTGCCACAGGGGTTCAAATATCTAGGAATCACAGTTGATAATGACTTAAGAAATGTGTACAAGCTTAACTACCCTGTCTTGGTTCAGAAGGTGGTGGATGACTTGAATAGATGGATAGATATGCCTCTTACATTATTTGGGAGAATTAACTGTTTTAAGATTAACGTTCTGCCTATGATGATGTATCCATTTCAATCTTAACGTATATCCCTACCCGAGAGTTAATTTAAGTCTCTTAACAAGACCATTAGACCATTTGTATGGAACCGTAAAACTGTAAAAAGGTCTCTGCCTACCAAATTTGAATTGAACGTTCATTTCTCTACCAATGTCGTTTTAGAGAATTTGGCAGTAGGTCCAACCGGCCTCACAACCGCAGACCACGTGTATGGCGTCGTATAGTTTGTTTTGGTCTTCCTGTGTGAGGTGCAGTAGTTCAATAGTAGACAGAAATGTGTCCATCATTGCTGGTTCCGTTCCATCAGAAGTGTATAACTTAGAATAGTATTGTTTAAATGACTCAATCTCTTCGGGGTTGTGAGACGCTTGACCGAGTTGAGAGTTGATGGTTCTCGAATTCTCCTCCGCTTTTATCTGCCAGGCCAAGACCTGGTGCGTTTTCTCCCCCAATTCATAATATCTTTGCCTAGTTCTAAGAATAAATAGCCTTTTCAGTTTTGTAAGTACTTAGGATATTATATTGTAGTTTTTTATTCACCAATGAGCGGTATGTTTCTTTAGAGACAGATTTTTGGCGTTCCTTTTGTAGTAGGATTTCGTTCTCTAATTCATTGAATTCAGCAGTGTATTTATTTCGGAGACCTTTGGTATAGGAAATGATTTGACCCCTAAGAAAGACCATTAATGTATCCCAGAGTACAACACTATAGGGAGAGGACGGACAGTTTGTTTCACAGAAAACTTAATTTGGTCTCTGATAAATTGACATAATTTTGCCAGTTTCAAAAGAGTTGGGTTTAGGCGTCATCTAGAGGTCCCTTGAACTCCATCCGGCATCCAAACAGAAAGTGTGAGGGGAGAATGGTCTGAGATGGTTCTGGATAAATACTCAGTTTCCACAACTCTATGGGTTAACTGAGCTGATAGGAGAAAATCATCAATCCGGGTATGAGAGTAATAAGGGCCGGAGTAGAATGAGTAGTCTTGGGGATGGAGTGGTCTCCATGTGTCTCTCAAATTTAAGTATTTCATAAATGATCAAGTGCATTTGGCTGACTTAAGTCAATAAGGTTACTTTAGTTGAGGATCTATCGAGAATCGGATCCAGACAATTTAAGAGTGTTCCCTGAAATTCTGCTACCTTGAGGAATATATCTTGAATAAAAATGTGATCATAATTAGGTGCATATACATTTAGCAAGGTTCAAGATGCAGAATACATTCTGCCATGGACCACTACATCACGTCCCAGTGGATCAACAATTGTTTTCGTTACATAGAAGGGTAAATTCTTATTGATTAACACAGCTACTCCCAGTGTATTTGTGTTAAATGAAGAGGCAAAGACCTGTCCCAACCATTCCCTCTAACTTTTTATGGTCTGCCCCTGTTAGATGTGTTTCTTGTATAAACGCAACATCAGTCTTTAGCTTTTCAAGTACATAAGCACTCATTTTCGTTTAACAGGTCCATTCAGTCCATTAACTTTCAATGATGTATGATTTACCATCTTAGCCATATTGTTCTGTTCACTCAGTACATGAATGCAAATGTCAGGAATATGTCTCTGGTGAAAATAAATAGCTTGTTTACATGGATATTGGGATCTTACCTCATTGATCTGTCCTTAGCAAGGCAGCTACAGTATAATCCAGCAAAGCAGTCCTACCGGTTATACAACTAATAAGGTAGGCTAGTGGGATACAGCAGTGAAATTAGCAGTGAAATTAGCCTGGTCCGCTAGCCAATCAACCATGTCCTGAGCCGATCGCCTTCAGTCCGCTGAGAAAAGTTGCAACTTCTTTGGTCGCTTTGAAGAATCTTCTCTGTCCGCCATGGACGATTCTCATCGTTGCAGGTTGAAGCAGCGCAAAGGGAATGTTCTTGGAGCTAAGTAATTTTTTCACCTGTTCGAATTCCTTCCTGCGTTTGAACATCCCAGGATGCATGTCTGGAAAGAATCCCACTGTGTAGGATCACTCCCTTCTCTTTGAAATGTTTGGCCGCAGTGCTGAAAACTCTCTCTGTCCTGGTACACTATATATACAAAAGTATGTGGACATCCCTTCAAATTAGTGGATTCTGCTATTTCAGCCACACCCGTTGCAGACAGGTACAGTGCATTCGAAAAGTATTCAGACCCCAGCTTTATTCTAAAATTGATTAAATTGCTTTTTTCCCTCATCAATCTACACACAATACCCCATAATGACAAAGCAAAATCAGATAAATATCACATTTACATAGTACTTTGTTGAAGAACCTTTGGCAGCGATTACAGCCTCGAGTCTTCTTGGGTATGACGCTACAAGCTTTCCTTCGACCTCATGGCTTGGTTTTTGCTTGTTACATGCACTGTCAAATGTGGGACCTTATATAGACAAATCATGTCCAATCATTTGAATTTACCACAGGTGGACTCCAATCAAGTTGTAGAAACATCAAGGATGATCAATGGAAACAGGATGCACACCTGAGCTTCAATTCTAGTCTCATAGCAAAGGGTCTGAATACTTATGTAAATAAGGTATTTTTGTAATAATTTTTTTATACATTTGCAAAAATGTATAAAAACCTGGTTTTCGCTATGGCATCATGGGGTATTTTTTAATTTTTTTACCTTTATTTAACTAGGCAAGTCAGTAAAGAACAAATTCTTATTTACAATGATGGCCTACACCGGCCAAACCCGGACAACGTTGGGCCAATTGTGCGCCGCCCTATGGGACTCCCAATCACGGCTGGTTGTGATACAGCCTGGAATCGATCCAGGGGGTCTGTAGTGACGCTTCAAGCATTGAGATGCAGTGCCTTAGACCGCTGCACCACTCGGGAGCCCTACAATCTATTGTGTGTAGATTGATGATGAAAAACATTTATTTAATCCATTTTAGAATAAGGCTATAACCTAACAAAATGTGGAAAAAGTGAAGGGGTCTGAATACTTTCCGAATGCACTGTATATAAAATCGAGCACACCGCCATGCAATCTCCATAGACAAACATTGGCAGTAGAATGGCCTTACTGAAGAAGTAAGTGACTTTCAATGTAGCACTGTCATAGGATGCCACCTTTCCAACAAGTCAGTTAGTCAAATATCTTCCCTGCTAGAGCTGCCCTGGTCAACTAAGTGCTGATATTGTGAAGTGGAAATGTCTAGGAGCAACAACGTCTCAGCCGCGAAGTGGTAGGCCACACAAGCTCATAGAACAGGACTGCAGAGTGCTGAAGTGCGTAAAAATTGTCTGTCGTCGGTTGCAACACTCACTACCGAGTTTCAAACTGCCACTGGAAGCAACGTCAGCACAATAACTGTTCGTCGGGAGCTTCATGAAATGGGTTTCCATGGCCGAGCAGCCGCACACAAGCCTAAGATCACCATGCGCAATGCCAAGCGTCAGCTGGAGTGGTGTAAAGCTCGCCGCCATCGGACTCTGGAGCAGTGGAAACGCGTTCTCTGAATCACACTTCACCATCTGGCAGTCCGATGGACGAATCTGGTTTGGCAGATGCCAGGAGAACGCTACCTGCCCCAATTCATAGTGCCAACTGTAAAGTTTGGTGGAGGAGGAAAAATGGTCTGGGGCTGTTTTTCTTGGTTCGGGCTAGGCCTCTTAGTTCCAGTGAAGGGAAATCTTAACGCTACAGCATACAATAACATTCAAGACGATTCTGTGCTTCCAACTTTTTGGCAACAGTTTGGGAAGGCCTTTTCCTGTGTAAGCATGACAATGCACCCGTGCACAAAGCGAGGACCATACAGAAATGGTTTGTCGAGATCGGTGTGGAAGAACTTGACTGGCCTGCACAGAGCCCTGACCTCAACCCCATCTAACACTTTTGGGATGAATTGTAACGCTGACTGCGGGCCTAATTGCCCAACATCAGTGCCCGACCGCACTAATGCTTGTGTGGCTGAATGGAAGCAAGTCTCGCAGCAATGTTCCAACGTCTAGTGGAAAGCCTTCCCAGAAGAGTGGATGCTGTTATATCAGCAAAGGGGGGACCAACTCCACATTATTTTGGAATGAGATGTTTGACGAGCAGGTGTCCACATACTTCTGGTCATATAGTGTACCTCAGGAACCGAATGAGAAAGGGTTGTGGGTTCCGGTCAGGGGATGGGCGAGTGATCTGTGCACCCGTTCGATGACCAGGGGCTCAGCAAAATGTTCTTTGCCCAGTAGGGAAGGGATGATGGCAGCAGAAAAATCTATGGGGTCTGTCCCCTCACAGCCCTCGCGGAGGCCGATAATTCTGATGATGCCTACTGTAGTTTTCCAAATGGTCTACCTTATTCATCAGGTATTTGTTGTTTTATACTCTGTGTATTTTACAAACTCAAACACACGCACACAGAAAAACAAACACACGCCTCTACTCAAAACACAACTTAGTTTAACATGCCTTTACACAGACAGATAGACACACTATAGATAAGATGTCAGAAAGACAAAGATACTATATGTCAACACTTACTGTATGTCCCAGGCCAGCCATACAGTGGAAAAATGTCCCCAGCCCAGCTTCCTGATCACATGGTATCTCCCATTGAACAGGTCTCCTATCTTCACATGGTGGTAACCTCCTGCAACAGTAACACATGGTAGTTGGTGTGTGTGTGTGTGTGTGTGTGTATGTATGTATGTATGTATATACATACATACATACAGTGAGGGAAAAAAGTATTTGATCCCATTTTTTACATTTTACATTTTTAGTCATTTAGCAGACGCTCTTATCCAGAGCGACTTACATTATGTTTTTATTTTATTTTTCATACTGGCCCCCGTGGGAATCGAACCCACAACCCTGGCGTTGCAAACGCCATGCTCTACCAACTGAGCTCCATCCCTGCCGGCCATTCCCTCCCCTACCCTGGACGACGCTGGGCCAATTGTGCGCCGCCCCATGGGTCTCCCGGTCGCGGCCGGCTACGACAGAGCATGGATTCAAACCAGGATCTCTAGTGGCACAGCTAGCACTGCGATGCAGTGCCTTAGACCACTGCGCCACTCAG